GACGTGATCAATAGGTGACGACAGTTCAGTGCATGTGTTACACAATTCAGGCTTCTCGCCTTGTGCTTAAGCACGAACTGGAATAATGCTAGTAACTCCACCCAAGTGGTGTGTCAGCTCTTCAATTTGCTTCAGCTGTTAAGGAATTTCAAAGCTTTGTGATTCGTAAAAAGCATGAGCTCGCTCATCAACAAGTAATCACTCCGGTGCTCCAAAACTCTTATAATACATAAAATTTTTGTTGTATGTTGAGTATTTTCTTCTAGCATCATTTAACTTTTCACTGAAAAAGGCAGTGAGGTGACCCCCCTAGCTCAATACTACTCCAGATGCATAACACTGTACCTCGAATAGTTGGTTGAAATCCAATAATACTAGAACTAGTGCCTGAGACACCTCCTTCGATGTGTCAGCGGGTCAGTAACAATGTCGAAGTTCCAGATGAATTGCCTATAAAACAATGCTAACCTCAGAAATTGTCTCAGCACAATGAACGACTACAAGGCGACCCAACTTATGATGGCCTCAATCTTTGTGGAGTCTATTTGAATGCCTACACTACACACAATATAACATAAAAAGCATTTTTGGTTCATCATGAAGTGGCACTTCTTCCGCTAGGTATATAGTTTCTCTACTCGCAGTAACTCAAACACTTCCCTCAAGTGTTGTAAGTGATCCTAATGGGAGCAGTTGTATAACAGAATATCATCAAAGTAGACCACCACAAACTTCCCAATGTAGGTCCGGAATAACCGATTCATTACTCATAAAAGAGTTGATGCATTTAAAAAGCTGAAGGGCATAACCGTCCACTAGTATAGACCATCGCATGTCTTGAAAGTAGTTTACCAGTCGTCTCCTGGTCTCATTCGTATCTGGTGCTATCTATCGCATAAGCGAATCTTGGAAAAGATATTGCCTCCATGTAACTAGTCCAAGTGATAATCCAGGTAAGGAATGGGAAACTGGTACTTGAAGGTGATCTTGTTGATGACCCTACTCTCAATACACATCCATCACGACCCGTCCTTCTTAGGCACCAACAAGGCAAGAACAACACATGAACTGGTGCTCCCTCTCATAAGCCACCTTGCGATGAGATTTTGCACCTGCCGCCAGAGGTCTTAATTTGTAGGTGAGCTGATCTTGCAGTACTTATCCTGTTATGAGAACAATGGCGTGTTGAATGCCTCTAAGTGGTAGTAATCCTTCCAAAAGGTTGTCAATCATCATATTCTGAAAGTCCTGTAGCAGTGGTTGTAGTAGTGTTGGTATCTCACTATTTTGAGCCCAATCTAGTAAAAATAAATATCACTGCCACTGATGCATTTCGAACTGACTGCATGAAAATGGCTCGTGGCATTAATACTTCCTATGTATTGCCCCCACCTCTTCATCCTTAACGGGTAATAACACAATGTGTTTTCCATCTTTAAGGGAATAAGTGTTCTTGAAGCAATTGTGTTGAGTCTTACTTGTCAAACAATCAAAGACTTCCCAACATATTGTATCAGGCGTCCATCGAAACCAAATCACACCATACTTGCTCTGTAGTCGATCCCTAATCAAGAATTCTACTAGGCACAACTAATCCACATGTATCTCATACCCTTTCTTCAGCAGGTAAGGGAACAGGATAAGATATTTCTGCGTGGTCAATCCCAATTTCTTCACCACCAATGTGAACACCACATTTTCACAACTCCCCCTGTTGAAGATTAAGCTGCAAAACCTTGCCCTTTACCATGCACTTGGTGCGAAAGATATTGGATCTTAACCAGGAATGATCTCGCTCCGGCTCTAACTGCAAAACCATTCGTATGACTAGTAATTCTTCTTCATCTCCCTGGAGTTGAAGCTCCTCCTCTTGGCTATCCTCTGACTCCTCGTCCACCTCCTCAACGGCGCACTGGTCTGTGATTGTGACAACCACGCTCGCGGGACAACGGGAGCCTATGTGGCTATAACTGTAGTACCTGAATGATTTCCTGGTTTGTACTGCATTGGAAGATTTATCTTTCTCCTATTTCTTCCCTCTTATCCTATCAGTCATTTCCTGGTACTGTCATGCTAGCTCCTCCAGAAGGACACTTATCGGTTTTTGTAGTTGTAAGTGATTGCCTAACTAAAGACTGTTGTCAGAATAAGTATTGAACGTCTCCAAGCGACCAGTAGGGTTGCAATTATACCCCGTTACAAATAGCAAGAATCAAGCCCCCCAAGATACCGAGCGATCGTCTGTTTCTCTGGCTTGACCAGCTCACATTTCATCTGTAACTAATCAAATTATGCGGTGGATTCTTCCACTAAGAGATCTCGTTGCTGCAAGTGGTGGAGCCTCAGAAACATGTCTTGGCGGTAAAAAGGTGGGAGATATTTCCGTTTCAATTTTTTCCTCATCTTCTCCCACTTGAACATTTTATCATGGCCTTCTCTTTTCCTTTGCCTCTGCAAGTCTTCCCACCACAAGAGACGCTCTCTTCTAACTTGATGACAGGAAACTTTCACTCGTTTATCCTAAAGCACATCCTTATTTCGAAGAGTTGCTCTATTGATTGTAATCAATTGACAGTCATCTTGAACCATGCCACTCTCAAACTCTAGCAGATCCATTTTGATGTCAAAGCCCCTGTCTCCCCCAAATATGGGCTCCTATCTCGACCAAATCTGATATTGAATACCAAAGCGGCAAAATCAGCATTCCTCATCATTGATGTCTTCACTGTGGAACGTATTCAGATCTTCGCCCCTGTCTCCCTTTCGACTCTCCATATCACAATCGAGAGTAATCACCCCCTGGGTTCCATCATCCATCTTTGTCAATCTCTGTTGCTGACAACAGATATCCCGTTGTATTTCATCCTGGGTGGGGTCTGGCATGTATCTCCTCGGAGCCATGATTGAAGGTTTGAGATCTGCGGAAAAAATAATAAGAAAAAAAAAGAAAGAACGAAAAGAGAGGAAGCAAAAGAAAGATACGGGAATAAAAAAAAATGAGAAGAAAAAAAAAGGCTCTAGGGAATCCTAGGATAGAACTAAGTTCAGGCTAGCTCTAATATCAAATAATAAAAAGGTTAACTCAACTCACGCGGATAGAAGCAAATATTATTAAGCAAACAGCCAGAAGTACAATCAAGACTCGAACAACAATGAAAACAACACAATGACAACAAGACTAGCAAGAGCCCGCTATGGACAAAGAAGAATCTCCGCATACATCGGCGGTTAGGTGGGTGTGATCCATGGATGTAAGTGGAGGGAGCTGCGAGTGCGGGTTGTTGTCGGAAGATGAAGGACTGCTAGGGTTGCAGCGTCGGAGGGGGGGCAGCAATTGTGGTAGGCTGCCAAATGGTGCAAGAAGTGGAGCTGCAAGTGCTGGCAAGCTGTTGGAAGGGTGGCTGCCTAACGGGAAAGTACTATCAGAAGGAGTCAACAACTGTTGGACGAGCGCTGGAGGTGGTAAGAGGAAGCAACAGTGTGGACAACTACTCGGAAAAGAGAGGAGCTGGCTGGCGACTTGCTGGAGGATGCAGGGGAGGTCGACGGCCTAGTAGAATTTGCAGGGTGGCGTTCACGGAAGCAAGAAGAGTACAGGAATGGCTGACAGCCTACTGGATGGTGGTCGGAGGAAGCAACAACACTAGGCAGTCGTAGAAAGGGAGCGAAAGCTAGTTGGCAGCCTGCTAGAAGGTGTGGGGGAGGTCGGCGGCCTGTTGAGAGGTGCAAGAAGGCATCGACGACAGTTGGAAGGTGAGGGAACAATGGAGATAGTCACTACCTTGGACAAAATTACAGTCGAAGCAACTTCTCGTCATCGTAAAAAACCCTTAAAAAAAGAAAATGCCACCAGCAGAATTCCGAACTCTGAAAAAAAATCAAAACTCCTAACTTAAGCAAAACATCACATATATATATAAGGGAAATTAAAAAATAAAATAAACAAGAAGTAAAATAGGAAATTTATAGAAAAAGAGCATAGAATAGGCAAGAATTAGAATAGGAGTCATCGAAAAGGAAGGAAAGTAGAGATAGGTAAGGGATCAAAAAAAGACAACAAAGGAAAAAAAAGAGAGTGGTAACTCCTGCCCCCTGGTTTGAGCGACCGCTTCCCTGTCAAAGCCCCGCAACATTCAATAACCACCATATCCATGAAGTCAGCATGCCAACAAAAAAACTACAATAGAAAACTTGGCATTATTGTGATTTGACAAACTCATAACGCATGGCAAGTCAATACCTGGTGTTTGCTTCTACAAAATGAAGCACATCTCCATGGTCATAACCTTCTGCAAATCAAACACATCCAACATTACTCCTGTATATGCATATATATGCATAGCATGCAATTGACCTTACACCACCACAAGCATGTCAACTAAGCATCTTCATTATACATGCAAGAAGCATGCGCATGTACAAAGACTGTTATCCAACAAACAACTTTTTTATAAAAAATAAGATATTAAATGCATATCATTTTAATTCTCCAATATTCAACTTTAATAATTGCCAAAGTATCATGCTTCTCAATGGAATCCAAGCCCAGTTTGTATCAGCAATCTTAAATCTTCCAATGTTATTGTTAAAAAAAAAAACACTAGATCTCTGATGAAATGGAAACCATAAATCATAACAATGGTAACACCTCAAAAGACAAGGAGTATGCTGAAAAATGATCACAAACTCAAATCTATGCCGAATTAACATGGAACATAATCGGAAGATAGAGTTCCAGTAGCAAAACAACTGATTTCTTATATTTACTATTCTTCTTAAGAGTTACTCTATCTAACTAAAAAATTTCCATGTACTTCAACAGACCCAGTTAGCATATAACAAAATATTTAATAAACATAAATTTTTATACCCATTATCAAAACCTGTGAATTCAATGACATATTCTAGCAGAAGAATGTAAATAATATAGATGTTGTTCCAACCAAACGAAGAATCCTCAATAGAACCAGCAAAACTAGTTCTTATAATTGGTAACATACTCAATGGGTTTCTTAAGTTCATTCATCATTTTAGCAGCTTCGTCCAGCTTTCTCTTTGCTTCTGCCTCTTGATTCTGTGCATTCTTGTACACCATCTTTTTCATATCATATTTAAGCCAAGGCAGTTTCTTTTTGAGGGTTTCAACCTGAAGTTCGAATTCAACAGCATTAAATAAATCTTGGCCAAGCAACACTGGAATGTGCAAACATTAAAATAATAAAATAAATCTAAAATAATAGAATATGATAATTCTGTCAGAATGGATTCAGAAATTATGATAGGTAAATATTCAATTCCCCTCTTTTAGAACGTTTGATCGCCTACCTCTTCCATAGTGGGTTGGCCATTCATTCTATATTGATCTATTCAAATAGTATTAACCCAGCTTGAGTTGTTAAAAGGGTATTTCAGGATAAATATTGTCATCATATAAATTTAGATGCCTTAAAATAGAACAAGACCTCTCAACTTCGAGAAAAAAAAAGGTTAATGATGACACAACAAGTACTAGCAATTAACATGTTAACCAGCTACATCTTACTGGTGTATCCCCAATTCCATTTGTGGATTGTAAGTGACACAAAGGCTCTAGCACCAAAATGATAGAGTCAATTTTCCAGCCCAACGTCAAGTCAGGACAAGTCCAAAAGGCCCACAGTACCCATGGAGCACAAGAGGTTACATCAAGACAGCATAGAGGTTACAAATAAAAGTTTGGAGGGCATAATTGCAATTCACCTAATTAAAACCGAATGGATGAGGACAGGCATGAAAAGGGCTGGTTTGAATAGGTCAAAACTGCCTCCAAATAATTTAGAAGAGAGAGAAGATTCGTGGCATAAACCAAGGATGATCGAGATCCTCCCACAATATTCTCACATTCCAAAATACCCTGTACAGCCAAGGCTGGATCTACGGAATGATTTTGAATGAAGGAAAAACTGCTTCGACAAGAATTTATATAAGTAGGTTATAAGTGTTTGCCATAAAGGATAAATCACTTATTTGATAGCTTGTCATCTAGATTTTCATTAAGTTTTCTCTATTTTCTTTAATAACTCATATGGATAAAAATAAGGATCTTCTAATGATTTTCATCATCAATTGAAAATAACCTTAGTTGGCAAGGATAAATCTCTCCTATTATTCTTAAGTTAATATATTCATAATCTCAAGTGCGCTAATTTAAACTCTCGTCTCAACTTTTAAAACCATATTCTCACAAATAATATTCTCCAGCTTGCACAATCTCGTGGGCCTCTCCATATCTAAAATTGCCTGGAAATTCTCAATGTTATGAGGTATTATAAAAATTTATTTATTTTTCTTCCTCGCATCTTTCCTCCATAAGCATGCAAAATCTTAGCCAAATAAGGAAATTTTATTTTCTATTTGCATGCAATCCGAAATTAAAAGATAATAATAACCAAGCTCCTTAAAATTAAACTTAAAATGAATAATTTGAGTTGGTCTTTAATTCTAGGTTAACCGTTTAGTTGGAATGATGCATGCTACCAAATAATAGTCTATTACGAATGAGAAAATTATTCACTGACAATTAATTAATAATATATTTACTATTACTTGAACTAAGCCAAGACACGAATTTTTTTTAAAGTAATTTAATATCAACTATGAAGAAAGGAGTCAAAAAGCCATAACTGATTACTTGCTTATATACATAAAGCTATAAATAAAGGAGTGAATTCCAAAATGGTCCCAACAATTTCAAATGTGACCAATTTAGTTTCAAAGTTTTGCAATACTCCAATTTAATCTCCCAACTATTGAAAATTGAACACAATTAGCACTCAGGGGCAAATTTGAGATTAATTTTGAATAGTTGAGGGACAAAATTGGATCATTTTTGTGTCATCATGATGGACCATTCTAGATCAGCTTTCAACAGTCGAAATATATGCAAGGTATTATTAATTTACGAAAAATATTATGATGTGTTTAGGTATTGGGAATTAAATTTAGAGTCAGTTTGGGGCAGCTTATTTGTTGCTTGTGCATTTTCAAAACGTCGTGTGGGTGTTTGTTTTGTGTGTTTGGCGTGCGTTTCAGGATGCGTACTTTCTTATTTCTATTAGATACGGAACGCGGGTCGTAGCTCGCGTCCCACGTATCTGTTTATCTATCGCAATAATACCCTCGTTCAATTCTTCTGCTGTGATTCTCCAAGCCTGGATCGATCTGGTGTGATTCTCCTCCTCTCTACTGTCTCTCATCCCGTGCAATCTTATGTTGTGATTTTCCTTCTCCTGGATCGATCTGATGCGGTTCTTCTTCTCCTTTCTACCGTCCCTCATCTCGTGCCCTAGGTTATTTTCGTTGTTGTGATACTCTTTCTCCTCTCTGTGATTCTCCTTCATCCGTAGGATGTGAGAATGTAAATGCAATTCTTCTTCTTCTCCAGAATAATCTATGGTTGGGGCATTTCTCCTCTCTGCGGTTCTCTACTGAGATGGAAAAAGAGATTTCACGGCCCCAAAAATTCTTGTTAGCATTGCCATGATATTTTGGTGCCTATCAGTTTTACCACCTTCATTTAACATGCTCTACAGTTTGTCATATTTTTTTTATTTGATATGGAGCATTTGGTTGGTACAAATGCAAAAAGTAAATTTCAGGTTTTAGACATGTAAATACATAAGAATTGGGTTGTGTGAATGTAAATGCCGCAATTTGACACATAAGAATCAGGTGGAATGTATGTCAATGCTCATTTTTTGTACAAATGCTGCATCCCCATTTTCTTTTACCTTCTATACATGCAAAAGAATTTGGCGGTATGTATGCAGATACATAGAAACTATGGTATATATGTAAATGCTCCTTTACGGTGGCTTGGGTGTGATGTCCTGTCTTTGGGAGTGTGAGTTGGTGGTGGGTGTGTGAGGTGGCTATGTGTGGTTGATTGGTTGTTGTGGATGCCTTTACGGTGGCTTGGGTGTGATGTCCTGGCTTTGGGTGTGTGAGTTGGTTGTGGGTGTGTGAGGTGGCCGGCGTGTGGATTGGTTGTGGTGGGATGCCTTTACGGTGGCTTGGGTGTGATGAAGTAGCCTGTGTGTGGTGGATTTATTGTCGTGGATGCATTTCCTGACTTTGGGTGTGTGAGTTGGTGGTGGGTGTGTGAGGTGGCTTGTGTGTGGTGGATTGGTTGTGGTGGATGCTCCTTTACGGTGGCTTTGGAGTGATGTCCTGCCTTTGGGTGTGTGAGTTGGTGGTGAGTGTGTGAGGTGGTGAGTGTGTGGTGGATTGGTTGTAGTGGATGCCTTTACGATGACTTGGGTATAATGCCTTAGCTTTAGGCGTGTGAGTTGGTGGTGGGTGTGTGAGGTGGCTTGTGTGTGGTGGATTGGTTAAGGTGGATGTGTGAGGTGGCTTGGGTGTGATCTCCTGGCTTTGGGTGTGTGATAGTCGTTTTTTCAAGTGTTTGCTTTATGTAGAAGTTTATCTATATGTTTTTTTTTCGTCATGATTTTACTGCTTTGCTTTTTCTCTTCTATCGCTTCGTTTCTTTTTAAAGAAACTCAATGAGTAAGAACGAGAAGGTTGAAACATCAACCAAGTGGGATAATGATGTCACTATTATTTTTTTTACGAACTTTGTTTGAAAGAGATAAAGCTGGGTAATAGACACACCACCTATTTCAACAACGAAGGGTACAAAAATTTCATGACAAAGTTCAAGAAAATGACAGGAAGGGATTATGATAGGATGAAATTTAAGAACAAGTAAGACCAACAAAAGAAGAATTGGAAGGTATGAAAGGAACTGAAAAGGGGATCTACAGAATTGGGTTGGGATCCTGTGAAACGGACAATAGATGCTTCTGAGACATGGTGGGCAGAGAAATTACATGCTATAACCTATCCGATGAATGCTTCCCATTTTACTGTATTTACTATGACGCTGCTTCAACTAATAGAATATTCATTTGTTGCGGGCAATTCCAACCGGTAGGAAGTTCAAAGTCAATGACAATGATCCAGTTTAAGAGGAAAAGTTGAAATGTTCTGTGACGTTGTTGCAATGGAAACTCATGCGTTCACCCTAAGTGAGCACAGCTTCACAGGCATTCTGGATGAGTCGGAGGTGGAGCAATTAGGTGATTCTGGTGGAGTCCCTAGCCCAAAGTCAGAGGGAGCAGGAGTGCACAAGCCAGTTAATGCGGCCTAAGTTTGAGCAAAGAAAAAGGAATGAGCAGTTTTCATCAAAAGCTCAATAAAAGAACTGCTAGAATCATTTAAAAGTCAGGTCAGTACTTCACGGAACCCCTTCATACGTGACTTTATTCGAGTTATTGATATGTATCCTGAAGTTAAGTCGGAAAAGGTATTTTACATGAAGTCGTTGCAGTTGTTGGAAAACCCGACACGCAGGGAGATATTCATGCAAATGGATCCCGATCTCTGAGTTTACTATTAGCTTTTTTGTATGGACCAATGATGTTGTGGAGTTATTATGTGTTGCTTTTGTTTACTCTAGATTTTTTCGTTATGTTTTCTTTATGTACATAAGTTGTTTATCTCCTTTTTTTTTCATTGGACGTTTGCGACGTGGATGTTAATTTGTGCTCTGCTCATTATAATTTCCCTTTGGTACTATTATATTCTTTCTGACTTTCTCTGCTTCTCACTTATTGCCTTCGTAGAGAATTTATCACGATGGATTGTTAGCAACTGATAAATAGAGGAAAAGTTGTGGTGATAATCATTCTCTTGTACGAATATTACAAATCCTACGTTGATCGAACTCACTTGATGACATCGAAATATATACACAGTGAAGGCACCCAAACACCTTTGTTCTTCTCGGGTTAGCAGGTTTTTAGGCTACTCTGAATGGCCTTTTTGGGTGGTTGGGACATGTGACACATGGAGGCTAATTACATGAGAGTTAAATGCAACTAAGAACTCATTTCTTTACAAGGTCACATGTCATATTATAGTGACAGAATCGTTTGTTGACGTGGTGAGTTATTTGAGCCCCCACACCACCTTTTTTTGTGGTGTTCTTCTATTTTTATGTTTTAGTTCTTCGTTTCTTGATTTAATACCGCGTCTTATTTTCATGTTCAACATTTTTTTTTCTAATTTATCTAATCTAACGACTGACGTTTTCTATCTTTAATA